GGAGGAGAGAACTCACACCTCTCTCCACCCCACTCGCTCCATCTGGCTGTAAGTCAGCCAGCGACAGCAGCAGACTGCAGCTGAAGAGGGGAGGAAGTCAGTGAGTGCAAGAAGCGCAAAGGAGCCCCACTGGATTTCCGTGCCCCACGGCGGAGAGCATCCCAGAGCTCAGACGTAGGACGGCTATCCTGCCCACGGTAAGGGCTGGAGGCTCTGACCAGCCTCTGCTCCTAGCTCTGACCTGCCCAAGTCCCTGCCCGTGCCCTCCACATGCTTATCCGCCCTGACTAAATCATACCCTGGGCTCCTTTGCCCGAACAGGTTTATGGACCTGCTGGTTTTCTCTAGCTTATGCACTTGCACTTACAGTTTTCCTACTAGCTATGTCAGTCATCTTTTTATATGACGACCTCTTAGCTACCCAGGGCTGCCACTGTGCAGCTAAGTGGTGAGCCCACCCCAGGAAGGGAAGAGAGAGACCTGGAGCAGTCATGCTTCAGCACAAATACATTAACAGATTGTTGAGGGTTACTACATGAGAGCTGGCCAAGACCCACGGGGGATACAGAAACCCCTGACGATAGGCAGAGAGTTGTGAGACTTCCTTGGAAAGAGCCAGGGTTTGAGTTCTATGCCTCATTCTTAGCCTGCTCAATGATCCAGGGTACTTTGTCAGCGCGCATGAAAGAGAGGCCTAATGGAAAGGATTACAGAACCGAAAAACTATGATTTTCAGACAAGTTGGTATTGAGACCAAAACAACAACTCACACTTCAGGGACTCAGTCTGACCTATTTCCAGCTGCCTCCTAGGTCTGACCAAGTGCTGTCAAATAGGAGGCATTTGAGTATTTATGGGATGAGTGGAGGCATGAATGAATCTGATTGATTCACAGGCGTCCATGAGAACATTAAATTGATGTGCGCAAGAGTACAACAGAATCTTTTTAGGCACAGGAAATATTATTTCATTTTTACTGTAACTTCTCTTTAAATAAAGCTGCCTTTTGGGGGAAGCATTATTAAAAAAAAATATTGGGAAGAGTACCCACTCCTAGTTGTGTCTCTGATGTTAACTAGCTCTGTGACTTTGGACCACGGCTTCCTGATCTACTGTGGGAGGGAGTAGAGGGTTCCCTAGATTTGCTTGTGTCTCAGGAGCACTTGTTAAAAACGAATACTCCTGGGCCCCATCCTTAGAAACTCTGATCTGGTAGATTTGAGGTGGGGCTAAGGAATCTCTATTTTAAGACACTACAGGAGACATTGATATAACCAGGAACCACTAGATTAATGTGTTGTATGAGTCTTCAAGCTCTAACATTCTGAGGGCTATGACCTGTGACTGGAGCCATTCTGTCCTCTTCATAAGAACCAGGTTTGTCATAATCCTGCTCCAAAGAAAGAAAGTAGACAGGATGATTCTCTTCCTTCCTGCCCTCATAGAGACTGTGGACACCTCAAATTCCACTATAAGCCACTGGCAACTCTACCAAAGTCCATCTCCAGGTGACATGAAGCCTGTCAGTTGAGGACCAAATCTTGTTTAGCAACCCTTGGCCACTTCCTGCCCTATTTGTGTGTCTTTTTGCTCATCTGTATTGTAGAGGTAGTTATCTGTATCCTCAGGGAGCTCCACATATATGCCTAGGCATAAACAGTTAAGACCCAACCTCTCTCTCAGTCATTATCCTCTGATTTTTGCCTCTTTCTCTTGCTCCCACTCCCAAATCCTTTTTCCCTACTCTCCAAACTGTACCTGCCTCAGTTGTGACCATCCTCCCCATTCCACCTTCAGGTGCCAGAGGAATCACCAAGACCTAGAACACCTAGGTTCTAAGTTGCATTCTCTGGGCAGTTTGTTTAGTAAGTCTCCTAGGATACAGGGGAAAATGAAGCTGAGCAGAAGGATCTGTTACTCAGGATCCCAACCCAAGAGTCCCCCTTCCTGGACCAAAGACTCAAGCACCTTTCAGGGGATGAGAATCTGAGCCATTGCAAATTAGAGGAGAAACAAAAGAGCAAGGAGGAATGAGGAGAAGGATGAGAAGTCCAGAGCAGAGAGAGGCTGACTTAGGTGAGCGGATAGGAAGACAAAGGGAGGGTCAGGAGAGAGAAGAGTGAGCTAGGAGGAAAGGAAAAGGAAGGGGTCAGGTAGAAGAGGGGGAAGGGGAAGAAAATGGGAAGAAAGAAAAGAGAGGCTGTTGAGTGGGATATGGCAGGAACAGAAAATGATGGGGTGGCGGGGAGGGAGAACAATGTCCCTCACTGAGTCTTAGCTCTGCTTTCATCAGCTTCCTAGAGAAAGCCTTTTCTAAGAGCTGTCTCGGTGAGGTCTCTGAGTTGGTCAAATGGAGACCTCAGTTCTAGCCCCAGTTCTGCCACTTAATTCATTAGGTGACTGGCAGTTCAGCTAGCCTCTGTCCCCTTTATTTTTGCTAAGAGAAGGATTCCCATACTTATTACTGAGCTGCATAGACTGATGGTGGGGAAACAGAAAGCACCAGGAGCCAAGCATTTCTTGTCTCCCCTGTGATTTGTTCAGACACTGGTGGTTTTCTGTGATCTGGTTGGTTAACGTACAACCTTAACACAGGATAAACGTGTGCCACTTCATATGTGAGGCTTCTGACACAGCCAGCGTGGTTCTTCTCCAGTGTCTTCTCTTGGAGTTGTATCCGATTACCTGTTTTCATTGGAATCTATTGAGGAATGGGATGATTCTGCTTATTTTCATGGTCAGGAGTCGCCTGATCCTGAAAGTCCTGTGAGAAGACATGGTGAGGCGCAAACTCAGTCACATGTAGGATGGCAGAGAAAAGAGCTCCTCTGTCCCCTTTCTACAAAATGAAGTCCAGCTCTGACATCCTGTGGCTCCCTGAGTTGAACCTAGCCCTCTCTCGGCCACGTGTAACCTAGATACAGTTTTAAAACAGTGACTCAGGAATGGGAGCAGAGCACGCCAAGCTGTGAGGTTGAAAGAGTTTGACAAAAGAGTATAAAATCATTTTCTAAGTCTGGTTTGAGATGAGGCAGGGGTGTCCCTGTGCTTGGGACTGTTCTCAGACCTCCCATGTCTCAGGACATCGTGGTGAGGCTCCCAGACACAGCCATAAGGGAAGGTAATTCTGTCTTCTCCCAGGGCCAAAGCCCACCCATCCCAGAAGTTCAGAGGAGAGAGGAGGCAGAATGTTGGCAAAGGGGATTAGACTTCAGCCCCAGGTTGACCCCAACCCCTCTTAGAGTCTGAAACTCTAAGACATTTAGTGGAGATCTGTTACTTTTTAGTCTTCATAGAACTTTTGCAAACCTTGGATTCCAAATTGTGCAACACCACCCAGCAAAGCAGAGATGGTTTCCTGTCTTCTTTCCTTCCTTCTTCCATCCAGAGGTCTCCTCTGGTCTCACTCAGGCTTCTACATTCAGCCTCAGCCAATAAACCTTTCCCTCTTGGGACTGAAGCTGTGTTCTTGCTCTCCTGAGAGTTGCCTTATCTCTTCTGCTTAGACTCAGATTGGTTTCCTGCACATTCCCACTCCTTTGGAAAGTCTTTTCTAGGTCCTTCAGTCAGGAGAGCTGTAATTTCAGTGACCTCTACGTCATTTCTGAAGACCGTCACCCTGGGTGGCTTTACAGGCTCTCCCTACTTAAAGATGGGACACTAATATGCTGTGTGACCTCAGACAAGTCACATCATGTTTCTGGACCTGTGCTTTTCATTTGTAAAATGTAGGGAGTTGAACTACATGATGTTTAAATGGAGGACTAACTGAATAGTTTAAGGATTCTTTCCATTGTTTTTTTTTTTTTTTTAAGATGTTCACCACTGACAAATTGTTAAACTTATTTAGGGACGCCCCTGGCAGTCTAGGGGTTAAAACTTCACACTTTCACTGCAGGGGGCACAGGTTCCATCCCTGGCTGGGGAATTAAGATTCCACATGTTGCAAAGGGCAGCCAGAAAGACTTTTTTTTAAAGTTTAAACTTACTAATTAAAACCCACAACATTTCTCTGATTCAAGCTTGGATCCTTTGCTTATACAAAAGCATAAAGCTTTATGTTCCATGGACTTCACCAGTTTCAGCATGATTTGGTTTAAGCACTGAGTTACATTTCTTCTAGGCGCAAAGCTAGGATCAAAGTGGCCACAAATCAAATCTTCTAGTTCTTTTCAAGGCAAGTTTGTTGTTAGCTCTTAGGATAACTTAACCAGTCCTAAATGAGCACATATTTAACGGTAGGAACTCTCTTTCAGTAGGTAGAGAAAACTTGAACATGCAGTTCTGAGACTATGTAACTTATCTGGTCCATTAAAACTGTGAGAACTACTATTATGAATAAGTGTATGAGCTATACTTTATCATGTGAAGGTAGAAGTGGCTTATTTAGCAAGGTGCAGCACCAAGTGTGGTAGAAGAGACAAAAGAAATACCCTGGCCTAGCCTGTCCAGAGCTGGAGGATCCATACCGGAGCATGGAGAGGGCTCCTGGAAGGGAAGCTGAGATGCTTCTGCTTGGAGAAGGGAAGGCTAGGATGCAGAGAGATTCCCAGTTCTGAAAGGGGGCAGCCAGCAAGTCGGTGATTCCTAATAATGGGGAACTGAGAGAGGTGTGGTCAACATGACCTCGTGGATTGTAGGGTGTTGGGAAAGAAGAGGGTGTTTGGCAGAAACCCCTGGGTTGACCCTGTTGGAGATGGCTGTGGGAAACTGCAGAAACTCTGAAATCAGATATATTTGGATTTAAATTCCGAGTCCCTGTGTGATTGAGACAAGTTTCTTAGCCTCTCTAAGCCTCAATCCCTAAACTCAAATTAGAAGTTGAAAAGAGCTACAAATTATGTAGATGAAGTAGCTGACACACCGCAGGCAGTCAAGGAACACTAATTTCCTTCTTTCTCCCTTGATCTATTACTCTAAGACCTCAAGATTAACCTGAAACCTCTTGCTGCTCCTCGCTCCTTCTGTGACTCTAGCATCAGCTGGTGAAGCAGTGGGTGATGGCGTATCTGCTGCAAGGCCGTGAGTACCCCGCAGAAGAGGGCTTGGGGAGACATCCGAGAGACAGGGAGGAGGCTGGACTCCTGTTCCAGAGCTCCTCCCGGGCCCTCCAACTTCCCCACCAGCTACTCAGTCCCTGCTTCTCCTGGCTCAGGGCTGCCCATCAATCAAGATCTGCTGCTGATGCAGAAAGGCACACTAATGCGCAAGGTGAGGTCCAAAAGCTGGAAGAAGCTAAGATTCTTCAGACTTCAGGACGATGGCATGACAGTCTGGCATGCCCGGCAGGCCGGAGGCAGGGCCAAGCCCAGCTGTGAGTGATGTGGATAGCCAGGGTGGGCATGTGGGTGGACAGGACCCTTCAGGCCCAGCAGCTTGAAGGCAAAGGAGGGACCAGTGTCTTATGACGTGCCCTGCTCTGGTCTCTTTAGTGTCTTTATCTGAGCCTCTAAAATGGAAATTATAACTGTACTAGCCTCTTCAGGGTGTTACAAGGATCAAATTGGTTATGGCATGCAAAGATCTTCAAAGAGTCTTTGCCACATAATAATAAGGCTCAATAAATCGTAGGTTTTATCTTATTACTATCATCATCATCATCATCATTATTATAGCATGATCTCGGGTAGCCAACTATCTGAATTAAAGTCCTGGCTCTGCCAATTTCTAGCTGAGTGGCTTTGGACAAGTTATTTAACTTAAGCTAATAAGTTTCCTCATCTATAAAATGAAGATTAAACAGCCTAGTATATTACAGGAGCTCAAGAAGTTAATGTATATAAACCACCTAGCATGAGGCCTGAAACCCGGATGAATTTAATGTGTTAACCATTATAGTGAATATTTCTAAATATCGTAAATGTGTCGTAACAGTGTGCCTCCTATTGGCCACTTTGTGATCCCTCTAAAAATGTGATCACAGGACTCACTTAAGAGAATCGACTTTAGAGACATAACCAAAGCTTATGATCTATACCAGCCCCAGCTGAAGAAGTGGGGGGGAAGGATTTCTCTGGCTCCCTTCCAGACATCTGGAAAGAGGAAGCCCTCAAACCTAGAAAGAGAGAACTGAATTTGGGTGCACCATGCTTTGGTGTAACTTCTATCCTGCAAGTGTGCTTCCACTTGTCAGCCCCGCCAGTCCTCCTGTAATTGGTCACCATGTGGATTGCCCATGGAAGGGACCATCCCTTATTTAAGATTAGGACACTAAGGGGCTACGTCTTTTTCATCCCCGTCACACTGCCAGTTGGTGACTGGAAGCCAGGTCTTGCCACTCCCAGCACAGGCCCCTTGTCGTGCTGCTATGAAAACGACTCATGTGGCAATCTGAATTCCAAGAATCTGCATCTCCCTGTACTAAGGCTCTGGGGGTTTTAGTCTGTGGACGCTGGGGTCCCTCCTCCTGTGGTTTCAGAGAGAAGAAGGGGGAGTACTGGTCCTTGGCTTTCAGCTGCTGTGATTTGACGGACCCTTTGCTCAAGGCCCCCCACTCACTTCTTCCCCGGCAGTCTCAATCTCCGACGTGGACACAGTACGTGAGGGCCACGAGTCTGAGTTGCTGCGCAACCTGGCAGAGGAGTTCCCCCTGGAGCAGGGCTTCACCATCGTCTTCCATGGCCGCCGCTCCAACCTGGACCTGGTGGCCAACAGTGTCCAGGAAGCCCAGACCTGGATGCAGGGGCTCCAGCTGTTGGTGAGCTTTGTCACCAACATGGACCAACAGGAGAGGCTGGACCAGTATCAGCAGGATGGAGTCAGAGTGGAATCCAGGGGTCACTGAAGGAGCCAGATGCTGAAGGGCTAGGGACAAGTAGGAGGGGGCCCAGGGCTAGAGGGGCCCGAGAGTCCACATGGGGTGGCCAGGGACAGCTTGGGCGGATGTGAGGCTGAAATACTGAGGGAAGAATGGAGGCCTGTGATGGCACAGGCAGAGTCACACAGAGTTTGGACAGGAATCAGGGCCCCCAGGATTGGGTAAAGGGACCATGAGAGGCAAACTAGGTGCTGATCCTGAGAGCTGAACAGAAGATCAAAGTGGCATTAACTCCCACAGGGATGGGGAGCAACTCCTGAGAGGGCTTAGTGGGATCAACTCACTTCAAGTTTCCTAGACTGTATTCACCTTCTATGCTGGTCCATTCATTTATTCACCATCTATTAAGCAAAATGTAAGAGGCACTATGCCAGGCTTTAGAGATACAAAGATTAATGAGACTCAGATATTGTTTTAGTCAGCAGAGAAAACAGAATTGTGTAAATAATTTAATTTACCAGTGTTACAGTACTTAGCTGATATGTGCGTGTTCGAAGGAAGGAGAAATACTTATTTCTAGCTGAGATGGTCATGAGAAAGCTTCGGGAGGAAGCAGCATTTGAGCTGAGCCTTGAAAATGAGTAGAATTTGAACTGAAGGGAAGAGGAGGGGAAGGCACTCATGTCTGAGGAAACATCATGAATAAAGGCCCAGAGGTAGGAAGCTGAAGAGCTGAGACATCAGTGAGCAGGGGCTTGCTGAGTCTGTCTGAGGTACAAGGTAGTCATTTCTGTGTTGAGAAGGCTGGTTTGGGGCCAGATCACTGGGGTGTAGGAGATCTTAATTTCTATGTTAAGGAAGTTGGGCTTCTTTCTGCAGGCAACAGGGAAGTCCCCAAAGGCACCTGAGCCATGCAGGGGCAAGATAGATTGGTGCTCTGGGGAGATTATTCCAGAAGCTAATGTGGAAAATGAATTGGCTTTGGGGAGGGGACTGGCAACAAAGACAGGGGAGCAGATGTCAACGGATGAATGTGCACACACATCTGCACATACAAACACATACTCAGTGCTTTTGCCTTGACTCAGACCTGGATGGCTGAGTGATTGGTTCCAGCGTGGAGACAAAAACCAGGATGGTCGGATGAGTTTCGGAGAGGTCCAACGGTTATTGCGCCTGATGAATGTGGAAATGGACCAAGAATATGCCTTTCAGCTTTTCCAGGTGAGTCTTCTGGGGAAAGGCTAGCAGAAGCCAACCAAGGCCACATTCTCCCTTAGCCAGAAGTCCTCCAACCCTCTCCAGCAACACACAGCTGTTGAATCTCTCCTGCTACGCCAGGTTCATTGGGAAGTGTGGGTAGGACATGGTTCTTACCCTTCAGTCTTGTTGGAAAGATGACTCATAATCTTATGAAAGGTAAATAACAACATGTTATTACATCAGACCTCAGGGACCTCTCTGTCCTTGGCCAGGATTTCACAAGTGCCTAGTACAGTGGAAAACTCCAACTGGCATGTGAGTAAATAGAAAAAGGGATCTTCTGATCTTTTAGGGACATGTTGGGGGCATTTAATTCTTTCTAGTTGAAATTTTTCTCCAGTAGCAAATGGTATGGCCAAAATTTTGCTTTTTACTTCCTGTAATGGCTTCTCCTATGAAAACTAAATGTCAGGAGTTCTGTGGAAGCCTGCCTGGCTCCATCAATAATATCGCCCTTACAGGGAAAGTCAAAACCGCAACATCGCTGTTAAAGGGTTTTTTACTCTCCTCTAAACCCTCTTCTGCAGACAGCAGACACATCCCAGTCTGGGACTCTGGAGGGAGAAGAATTTGTAGAGTTCTATAAGTCATTGACTCAGCGTCCAGAGGTGCAGGAACTGTTTGAAAAGTTTTCATCTGATGGGCAGAAACTGACCCTGCTGGAATTTGTGGATTTCCTCCAAGAGGAGCAGAAGGAAGGAGAACAGGCTTCTGACCTTGCTCTGGAACTCATTGACCGCTATGAGCCTTCAGAAAGTGGTAAGAGGACTAGGGTGGTGAGGCACCACCTATGGGGGCCAGATAGGGGGACCAAGAGACAACTAACCTTCTGCCTAACTAAGGGAAAATTCAGTCCTACCCAGAGCCCCTTCCCAGTCATCTTCATCTCATTCAATCACTCCTCCAGAAGGAGAAAGCATTTTCTGCCCACATAAGACAGGAGTCTCCTCTGTAGTGCTTTATCTCTTAGGAGGAAGAACATTCCATAAGTCCCCTTTCCTCTACCATGCTCATATTTCTCATCCTTCACTTTCAAATTCTTCTTCCTGATATCAACTTTTGTCCTCAATGGAAACATAAAATCCTACTCCTCTTACTTTTGGCTTCTTCTCTAGTGCATATGATTCCTTTCCCTTTATTTCCCTTCATGGTTCCTGTTGGCTGTCTCTTTAAGTGCTGGCTCTCTGCCCTTTCCTGGACTCTCTCCAAGTTCCCCAGGTGGTTTTTGAGTCCTAAGTCCCTGAGCTGGTCAACTAGTGTGTCCCTGGCTGAGGGGGATGATGAAGTAGACAATCATTTAGCTCTTAACAAGCAGTTAAAATATGTCCTCTCTGCCCTCAAACCTTCTCCTTGCCCCTTTAGTAGACACCTTCCTGCCCTTCATTCCCTGCAGAGCATGAAAAACTTATATTATTAATAAAAGAGTGCTTCCCTGATAGCTCGGTTGGTAAAGAATCCGCCTGCAATGCAGGAGACCCCAGTTTGATTCCTGGGTTGGGAAGATCCACTGGAGAAAGGATAGGATATCCAGTCCAATATTCTTGGGCTTCCCTGTGGCTCAGCTGGTAAAGAATCCACCTGCAATGCGGGTGACCTAGGTTCGATCCCTGGGTTGGGAAGATCCCCTGGAGAAGGGAAAGGCTACCCACTACAGTATTCTGGCCTGGAGAATCACAGTTCAGTTCAGTTCAGTTCAGTTGCTCAGTTGTGTCCGACTCTTTGCGAACCCATAGACTATAGCCCACCAGGCTCCTTTGTCCATGGGATTTCCCAGGCAAGAATACAGGAGTGGGTAGCCATTCCCTTCTCCAGGGCATCTTCCTGACTCAGGGATCGAACCCCAGGTCTCCTGCACTGCAGGCAGATTCTTTACCATCTGAGCCACCAGGGAAGCCCTTAGTACTCACTACATCCTTGTAAATCAAAAGCAATAATCTTTATTGGGCCTTTGCTAAGCACCCCATAATGTACTGATGATATCTCTACATGCCTTTTCTCTTCTAATTCTTCCAACAACCCATGGAAGTGGATTTCTATTATCAACTCAGTTGTACAGAAGAGGAAAACTGAGATTTAGAAAAATTAAGTGACTTGCTCAAAGTCAACAGCTAATGAAAGGAGGAATTGCAATTCAAAGCCAGATCATTGACTCTTACCTGGTGCCTCTCTTGAGAATGAGGATAAGAGGTGAGAGGAATGTGAGCTGGACAGGTGACCCAGGTTTCTTAGGTCTCAACTCTCATTCCCTTTCATTCATTCATTCATTCACTCACTACTTCAGCAAATGCTCACTGAGTGCCTGTAATGTGCCAGGACCAATGGTAGGCAACAGAGACACAGTAGTACATCAGACAAGGACACTACTCTCATGGACCGTGGAGCCAAACAAAGTGTTGGAATCACTGATTGCAGATTTATGTGGGTGCTCAGAGAAGAAAGGGGCTGTGAAGCAATCTTTTCAGAAAACTAAACAGAAGAAGAAGTTGAAGGGTTAAGACAGGATTCTCTATTCCCAATGCAGAATCCAGCATACATCATTACATTTATTCTGCCTGTGTGCATGCTCAGTCACTCAGTTGTGTCCAATTCTTTGTGGCCCATGGACTGTAGCCCACCAGGCTCCTCTGTCCATGGAATTTTCCAGGCAAGAATACTGGAGTAGGTTGTCATTTCCTACTCCAGGGGACCCTCCCAACCCAGGGATTGAATCCTTGTCTCTTGCATTTCCTGCACTGACAGGCAGCTTCTTTACCACTGAGCCACCTGGGAAGCCCCACATTTATTCTATCCACCCTTTTTGGAGTTCCTTTCCTTTTCACTTGACTATCAGATACAACAACACTATGGCTGCGAAGTGTGGTATCAGTCAAGAGACAGGGGCTCAAGTCCCCACTCTGCTTCTTATGGAGCACTGAGTCACTTAACCTATCGGAGGCTCAGCTTTCTCACTTGTAAACTAACTGGTGATCCGATGGAATAAAGCACATGAAAAGTACCTGGTAGTTATAGACTTTAGTAATTTGCAATCTGAGTCATTACAGTCAAGAATGAAACCATGTGGGATTTCTCTGGCAGTCCCGTGGTTAAGACTTTGAGCTTCCACTGCAGGGGGCATGGATTTGATCCCTGATCGGGGAACTAGGATCCTGCATGCCTCAAGTCATGGCCAAAATATAGAAAGAATGAAGCTTCGTGCCCAACTTCTTGCCATTTTCCACCATCGCCAGGCCTTGTCACACCTGGAGTGAGGAAGCTAGGCATCAGAGTCAAGCTGTCTCCCCTGTAGCAAAGTTATCCTCAGTGAGACACTTCACAGTCCAGCAGCGTAAGGCAGACTCTGACATCTGACTCTCTGGGTTCAAATCCCAGCTCCTTCACTTATTAGTTATTAGTTATGTGACATAATATTATACAGGAGGTGGTGACCAAAACCATCCCAAAGAAAAAGAAGTGCAAGAAGGCAAAGTTGTTGTCTGAGGAGGCTTTACAAATAGCTGAGAAAAGAAGAGAAGCAAAAGGTAAGGGATAAAAGGAAAGATACCCAACTGAATGCAAAGTTTCAGATAATAGCAAGAAGAAATATGGAAACCTTTTTAAGAGAACAATACAAAGAAGTAGAGGAAAACAACAGAATGAAAAAGACTAGAGATCTCTTTAAGAAAATTGGAGATATCAAGGGAATATTTCATGCAAGAATGGGCACAATAAAGGACGGAAACCGTGAAGACCTAACAGAAGCAGAGGAGATTTAGAAGAGGTGGCAAGAATACACACAAGAACTGTACAAAAGGTCTTAATGATCTCAATAACCACGATGGTGTGGTCACTCACTTAGAGCAAGACATCCTGGAGAGTGAAGTCAAGTGGACCTTAGGAAGCATTACTATGAACAAAGATAGTGGAGATGATGGAATTCCAGCTGAGCTATTTAAAATCCCAAAAGATGATGCTGTTAAAGTGCTGCACTCAATATATCAGCAAATTTGGGAAACTCAGCAGTGGCCATAGGACTGGAAAAGGTCAGTTTTCATTCCAATCCCAAAGAAGGGCAACGCCAAAGAATGTTCAAACTGCCACACAATTGTACTCATTTCACATGTTAGCAAGTTTTTAATGCTCAAAATCCTTCAAACTAAGGTTCAGTAGTATACGAACTGAGAACTTCCAGATATACAAGCTGGATTTAAAAAAGGCGGAGGAACCAGAGTTCAAATTGCCAACATTCATTGGATCATAGAGAAAGCAGTAAGGGAATTCCAGAAAAACATCTACTTCTGCTTCATTGATTATGCCAAAGTCTTTGACTGTGTGGATCACAATAAACTGTGGAAAATTCTTCAAGAGATGGGAATACCAGACCACCTTACCTGTCTCCTAAGAAACCTGTATGCAGGACAAGGAGCAGTAGTTAGAACTGTACATGGAACAAGCGACTGCTTCAGAATTGGGAAAGGAGTATGTCAAGGCTGTATGTTGTCATCCTGCTTATTTAACTTACATGCAGAGTATCTTATGTGAAATGCGAGGCTGGATGAATCACAAGCTGGAATCAAGATTGCCAGGAAAAATATTAGCAACTTTAAATATGCAAATGATACCACTCTAACGGCAGAGAGTGAAGAGGAACTAAATAGCCTCTTGATGAGGGTGAAAGAGGAGAGTGAAAAAGCTGGCTTAAAACTCAACATTCAAAAAATGAAGATCAAGGCATCCGATCCCATCACTTTGTGCAAATAGAGGGAGGAAAGTGAAAACAATGACAAATTTTATTTCGTTGGGCTCCAAAATCACTGCAGACAGTGACTGTGTGCGTGTTAAGTCACTTCGGTCATGATGATTCTGTGCAACTCTGTAGACTGTAGCCTGCCAGGCTCCTCTGTGCATGGAACTCTCCAGGTAAGAATACTGGAATGGGTTGCCATTTCTTTCTCCAGCGGATCATCTTGACCCAGGGATCAAACCAGGGCCTCTTATGTCATCTACATTGGCAGGCAGGATCTTTACCACTGGTGCCACCTGACAGTGACTGCAGCCATGAAACTAACAGACTCTTGCTCCTTGGAAGGAAAGCTGTGACAAACCTAGACAGCAAATTAAAGAGCAGAGACATCACTTTGCTGACAAAAGTCCGTATAGTCAAACCTATGGTTTTTCCAGTAGTCATGTACGACTGTGAGAGTTGGACAATAAAGAAGGCCGAACGCCTTGAAATTGATGCTTTCAAGTTGTAGTGCTGGAGAAGCCTCTTGAGAGTCCCTTGGACAGCAAGAAGATCTAACCAGTCAATCCTAAAAGAAATCAACCCTGAATATTTACTGAAAGGACTGATGCTGAAGTTTCAATACTTTGACCACCTGATATGAAGAGCCAACTCATTAGAAAAGACCCTGATGCTGGGAAAGATTAAAGGCAGGAGGAGAGGGGACGACAGATGATGAGATGGTTGGATGGTATCACTGACTCAATGGACATGAGTTTGAGCAAACTCTGGCAGACAGTGAAGGACAGGGAAGCCTGGCATGCTTCAGGGCTGCAAAGAGTCAGACACAACTGAGCGACTGAACAACAACCACAGATGTGACCCTGGGTAAGTTACCTAACCTCACAGGGCAGATAATGTTATCCCCACCTGATTGTGTTGGTGAGAGCATTAAGGGAGATGCTGCATGTTATGTCCTTGGCACAGAGCAATGCTCAAGAAACCCTCAGGCCATGGTAAGCAGTAGCTACACAGCCCAGGGCATAACACACAGGTACCTTGGTCTTGGGGCTTCCCACATGGCACTAGTGGTGAAGAACCCCTGTGCCAATATAGGAAATGTAAGAGATGTAGGTTCGATCTTCCCCAGGGAAGATCTCCTGGAGGAGGGCATGGCAACCCTCTCCAGTATTCTTGCCTGGAAAATCCCAAGGACAGAGGAGTCTGGCAGGCTACAGCCCATAGGGTCACAAAGAGTCTTCAGTCGTGAAGCGACTTGGCATACATGCACGCACCTTGGTCTTGTCACTAACAAGTCTTTGACTTTGATCCTCTCTGAGCCTCGGTTGCCCCATCTATGAAGTTACTCCTTTGGACTAAATACTGTGCTGTCCTTCATGGTAACCCTGAGCTCCATGTGGCTATTTAAATTTAAATTATAGTTGGCTCTCTGTATCCACAGGTGCCACCTCGCGGATACAGAGGGTCGACTGTACCATGCCATTCTGTGTAAGGCACTTGAGCGTCCATGGATTTTGGTATCTGCTGTGGGGAAAGGGGAAGTCCTGGAGCCAATCTCCTGTGAATACAAAACTGCAATTCAGTTCCGCAGTCACACAGCAACATTTAAAATTCTCAGTAGCTTTATTTAGTTAAAGGCTATCGTACTGGGCTGTCCAGACCAGAGAACACTTCCATCACTGTAGAAAGTTCTGTTGGGCGGCACTGGACTAGCATGATCTTAATGATTCCCTTTGCATCTTCTCTGAGGATGGGGATGCTTGAAATGACAAGCTGGATAGGGCAATTTTGGGGTCTGGAGGCTGGGAGTGGACACCATCTGAAAGGCCAGGCCCTGGAGAGGGGTGGGGTGCTCTGAGCACTGCCGCCGTGAGCTTCTCACTCTAGCCACTCCACACCCCAGGCAAACTGCGGCATGTGCTGAGCATGGACGGCTTCCTGGGCTACCTCTGCTCGAAGGATGGAGCCATCTTCAATCCGACCTGCTACCCCCTTTACCAGGACATGACTCAACCCCTGAACCAGTACTACATCAACTCCTCCCACAACACCTACCTGGTGGGGGACCAGCTTTGTGGCCAGAGCAGCGTGGAGGGATACATACGGTGCTGTGGGGCTGGGGGGTGAAGGGGTCCAGCTCATGAGATGGGAAGGTCTGTGGGAAGTTGGAGGGGAATTGTTAGTGGACTGCAGGAATTGAAACACTGTTGTGGGGGGATTTGAGCTGAGGATTCCTGGGTCCCTGAGAGACTTGAAGGAGATATTGAAGACTGGCAGGAGACTGCTATGGAAACCCTGTGGGTAAACAGAGCTTCTCTTTCATAGGACATGAAATTCCCTTGGCATCAGAGGTCCTGACAGATTTATTTTGAACAAATAAATAAACTCAGTGTTAAATGGGAGGCAGTAGTGGAGAGGATTTAAAAACATAGGTTCTGGAGTCAGACCATTTGAGATCAACTACTAGCTTCCTCACTTGGTACTCTGAGGTCAAATACTTAACCTCTTTCTGCCTCAGCTTCCCTATCTGAGACACGGAGATGATTACTATTCTATTTTGTCTGGCTTGTTGTGAGGACTCAATAAGGTAATTTATGTGTCAGTAGGTAATAAATGGTACCTGCTTTTATTGTGATTAACCGTGCATTAGATCAAATAGTCAAGACAGCTTTGTAATGCCAGCAGGTGAACTAGTTGCTTCAAGTGCAACTTCCCTAGAAAGCCTAGTAAGGAAGTAAAATGTAAATTTACTGAGAGTCTGAATAACTCAGGTGTCATATAAAGATACACAAGCAGAACAACAGAAGGCAGTATGTGATGGCTCCCTAAGGGAGGATTGTTGAGTAGGGCGGGGTGGAGATCAGTGTGAGCTGCAGGTGTATCCCAGCAGACAAAGAGGGGTCCATGGAGATGTAAATTGACAGGTCTTGATGGGTGTCTTGGGTGAGTGCCGGTGAGCACTGTTCTCTCCAGAGAGGGAAGAGGGTCCCTAGGTGGAAGATCACACCTTGACCCCTCCCGTCCCTGGGGGGTGGGGTTCTTGCAGGGCCCTGAAGCGGGGGTGCCGCTGTGTGGAGGTGGATATATGGGATGGACCAAGCGGGGAACCTATTGTTTACCACGGACACACCCTGACCTCCCGCATCCCATTCAAAGATGTTGTGGCCGCTATAGGACAGTATGCCTTCCAGGTGGGAGCCTTGGGATGGAAATACTGGTGATTAGCGAGAGGATCTGAAGGAAGAGACTCTGGGTCTGGGGTTGGGGAGGGATGCAGGGGAAAGTAAAAATATTAGTTGCTCAGTCGTGTCCATCTCTTTGTGACCCCATGGACTGTGGCCCACCAGGCTCCTCTATCCATGGAATTCTCCAGGCAAGAACACTGGAGTGGGTATCCATTCCCTTTGCCAGGGGATCTTCCTGACCTAGGTGATGTCAAATGACTATACATAAAAGAGATTTTAATTGTGAAGCATCAGGCAAACATCAAGGGATTATTATATAATAATAAGTGTTGAATGTGTTACTAGTTAAGTAGTAGTCATGGAAGTAATTGCTAACTGGTAATGATTACTTCTAAAAACTTCTGTCACCCACCTGGGAGAGGGCAGAGGAGGAAACAAACTGGTGGGTAGAGCTGGGAGACAATAGCTATCTGGGGATGAAAGTCTGAAAGTGTAACATGAACATGACTGGGGCGCTGGCCTTGCTTTCCCACTCTAAGCCTGAAAACTCAAAGGTCCCAGAAGGACCTGGGTCAGACCTGGCACAGATCTGAGATTTGGGGTCCCAAGAGTGACTTTTAGATGTGGGGTGCCTAGACCCAGGCAGATCTCTGGGAGGCCTGGCATGGGTGAGAGGACTTTTGGCAATCAGGGTACTCAGTTGAGTAATTGGCAGTGGGTGGGGTGGTGGGGTGGTGGGTGGAGGTGGAGCTGGAGAAGCAAGAAGGTTATAGGCCTCAGAACTCTGGCTCCAGCGTGCCTTCCCCTCCTGACCAGACATCAGACTATCCAGTCATCTTGTCGCTGGAGAACCACTGCAGCCGGGAGCAGCAGGAGATCATAGTGCACCATCTGACGGAGATCCTGGGGGATCAGCTACTGACAACAGCCTTGGATGGGCAGCTTCTCACTCAGCTGCCCTCCCCTGAGGTAGGGACCCTGCCCTTCCAGCCCAGGCTTCCCTACCGGCCTTGGCTCTTTCTTCCAGGCCCACCTGTTCCCTTCTTCTCACCCTCAGATGGACCATCTTGCTCTTTAATATTCTTGGAGACAACTTTAATTTTTAAAAAATCAAATTCAGGGTGCTCCCATGTGGCCTAACGGTTATGATTCCAAGCTTTCACTGCCAATCCCTGCTCTGGGAACTGAGGTCCTGCAAGCCGAGTGGCATGGCCAAAAGAAAAAAAAATCTAATTCAACATAAAATTCTAGATATAGCTTTCTAAATTTAAAACCATTTATTTACTTTATATTTCTTTTTTCAATGGAAGATCTTCATTTTTGTCCCCTGATAGTTCATAATTATAGGCTCTACAAAGATAAAGGGAGATTCCCCCACCATAATCTCAACCTCTCCAAGAACAGCTGCCAACATTATTGATTTTTTACACAATTATATAGACATATATATATGTATATATAGTCACATTTAAAAAAAACATGAATGGGATCATCCTTCCTATCCCTTTTATATATATTACAAATATCTTTTCATGTATATTTTCTTTTTTAACAGCTCTATAGTATTGTATTTTATGTTACTGACCGTAATTTACTCAACCAGTAGGTGGTAAAAATAACCAGTAAATGGTAAACATTTAAGTTGTTTATAATTTCATTTGTATATAGAGCTTTGTTCATTTACTCTTTCTTTGAAATGGATTCCTAGAAACAAAATTGCTGGGTTGAGAACTGCATGTTGACATTTTTGGTTATTATTGTCAAGTTGCCCTCGGAGGGGCAGAAAAAAAACCAAATTTCACTCCAACTGAACAGTGTAAGAGAATGACTACAAATAACTCCAGTAGTGAGATGATTCGTAATGGCAAACATGAAAAAAGTCAAGTTTTTAAAAAACAAAGGTCTGTTTTATTCTTTCAAATTAACTGATATTTACAAACTTTTTATATTCGAGTTTATAATTTTTATTGATATATAACTTTAAAAAATGTTAAAGATATTAATGCTTTAAAAATACTTTTTTGCAGTCTATTGGGGTGGGGAGTGGCCACACTGCAACTTGCATGACCCAGTTCCTAACCAGGGACTGAAACCAGGACACAGCCATGTGGAGTCCTAACCACTGGACTGCCAGGAAACTCCCCTTGTAGTCTATTTTTTCTTTTTGTCTTCACAGCCTCTTCTGCTTTACAGAGGTTTTTAAGCTTTATGTAGTCACCTCTGCCAATCATTTTTTATGTCTTCTGAGTTTTCAAAGGTATTCCTACCTTGAGGCTATTCAGAAAGATTCTCTATCTTCCTCTAATACTGTAATGTTCTCTACATATAAATCTTGAATCTACGAGGAATCTTTATGTGTCAAATGTGAGGTAGGGGTTCGCATGTATTTTTTTCCTTAGAGATGTCGCATGTTGGCTTAACCATAAGAAATCCCTACTCTGTGTATCAAGTAGCCTTCCTGTGGGAACTTCCGATCACTTGCTTCCTTTTCCTTTGAGGTGGTCCTGTGAGAGCTGCATAGGAGCTGCAGGACCCCCAGGAGGGGCCCGGAGCAGAGAGGCAGACAGGCCCCTCTGTTTTTGTCCCCTAGGACCTTCGGAGGAAGATCCTTGTGAAGGGGAAGAAGCTAACGGCTGAGGAAGAGGAGGAAGAGCCAGAGGCTGACCTGGAGGCAGGGCAGGAGGCTGAGCTGGACTTGGAGGCCCAGCTGGAGTCTGAGCCCCAGGAGCTGAGCCCTCGCGGTGAGGACAAAAAGAAGGTAGGCCAGGAAGGTGGTCTTTCTGCTCTGGCCTTTGATCAGTCAGTACTACAAGCTGAGACCCCATGTGTGAAGAAACTGGAGCCAGGCAGGGTGGAGAACCAGGGAGCAAAATGCTCCTTGCCTCCAATGACAAGAGACATGAGAATCCATACACAGCATCACCATAGTAGATTGCCATATACAGACATATGGCAGTGGCTTTCCAACTTCTTTGTGCTGTGAGATCTTTTTTTAAATGAAATTTTATATGGAAGCTCTGTACACAAAATAGATATGTGCAGAGTCATTCTGGTTGAAGCACCTCTTTGGCTCTCTCCTGGGTCTCCCAGGTGACTTCTGAGACATCTTTGTACTACTTCCCAGTCTTTTTAAGTGATACTTCAAAAACTACTGATATATGTGTTGTTATATTAGGTAAGTAGGGCTTAGTAGAGTGATTGCTGTGACCTCAACTAAAGTGGGTTTATTGCTTGAAAGTTTCTTGGCAAAGGTGAGTCTGAAAAGGGACCAGAAATAGACAAAGAGGAGGAGCATGAAAGGTTGGGGAAGGGGTGCCAATGGTGGGACCACCAAGATCTTGTTTTGAAGTCTGCATTTCTCTCTCTTGTGTACTTGCCTGGCTCAGCTGAATGACTTCTAGCTTATTATCCTGTTCTCGCTGGAGCTGTGTTGTCTTACCTGCTGCCATGCCCAGGGATGGAAATGGGAATTCAGGAGAAAAATCTATAGATGTTACTCTGGGACTCTGACATTCTTCCAGGTGTGAGTTCCATGACCATTTGCATACCTTGATGTATCTGGACTCATGTACATTTTGATAAAAAATTAATTTGTTTTAAAAGATGAGAGGTAGTGAGGATGAATCTCTGTTTAGCAATAATAAATTAAAGACATGTTACCTGCACAGTAACCCTTCAAGCCCAGAGGCTGAAACTGATCCCTTTAGTATACGTAGACTGCTTTTATTCCCATTCCCATCCTCAGGTTGTGATGTGCCCGCTGTTGTGTCGGCCTTTGTGTTGTCAGATTATGGCCCAGGCTCCTATTTCCAAGCCTGGGCTTCTTCTCTTTCCCAAGCAGGTGAGGCAGGAGGGAGGCAGTGGGCAGAGCCTTAGGTTGGGTGGGAAAGTTCAGATCTTGGCCCCTGGCTTCTTCCCTCTTGGATTGCTAATGGCTCGACTCTATCATCCTCTCTCTCCTTTTCCAGAAACCCAAGGCCATCTTGTGTCCAGCCCTCTCTGCCCTGGTTGTCTACTTGAAGGCTGTCACATTCTACAGCTTCACTCACTCGAGGGAGCACTACCACTTCTATGAAACATCATCTTTCTCTGAAACCAAGGCCAAGAGTCTTATCAAGGAAGCTGGTCAGGACCAAGAGGGGGGGATGGAAATGGGATAAGTCAAGTCAGGTCTGATGGGCAGGAGGATGAGGGAGCAGAGGGACGCGGGAGGAAGTTAAGGAACTCCCAGACCAGGTATGGGGACAGGAGATGAACAGTGGACTCAAGGCTCTAGGGGGAAGACAGCTGGGGGAGATGATCTGCATGGAGCAGAGACAGGCACAGCCTTAGGAGATGCTGGAGAGAGGAGTGAAGTGTGTGGGCGGGGGCCCCTGGGACTAAGGAAGTAGGAGGGTCCACTCCACTCACTACCATCTCGGTACCCACACCTTCTTTATAGGCGATGAGTTTGTGCAGCACAATACCTGGCAGTTAAGCAGAGTATATCCCAGTGGCCTGAGGACGGATTCATCCAACTACAACCCCCAGGAATTCTGGAATGCAGGCTGCCAGATGGGTGAGGGAGTGGTAGGGACACGGAAGAGGGAGTGCAAGGGCAATGGATAGGAAGTTGGTTCCTGGGTGGCAGTGGGGCCAGAGAGTGCTTCAAGGGGAGCACTGGGCTGAGAAAGATGTTCTCCAGTGTTGCCAGCAGCCCTTTTACACCCAATAAGCTCTCAGTCCGCTTTCCCTGAAAGATGGCTGCCTGACCCCCAAGGTGACTCTTCCCTTTTTTTCTCTTGGGGCCCTCAGTGGCTATGAACATGCAGACAGCCGGGCTGGAGATGGACCTGTGTGATGGGCTCTTCCGCCAGAACGCTGGCTGTGGCTATGTGTTGAAGCCAGACTTCCTGCGTGATGCCCAGAGTTCCTTCCACCCTGAGAGGCCCATCAGCCCTTTCAAAGCCCAGACCCTCATAATTCAGGTATAATGGAAAGAAAAGCCACTGGGAAGAAACTGGGATAGCTGAAATAGAGCCTGAGGGGCAGGGGCGGCTAGGTCTGACAGGAGTGTAACAGAGGGAAATTTCCTCATGGGGCAGCGTGGACTTTGGAGTCAATCGACTAGGTTCAAACCCATTTACTAGTCATGTAATGTTTGGCAAACTTCTTAACCTTATTCTCCTCACCTGCAAAATTGGGGTAATAATACTGCCTACTGTACAGGACTGTTGAGATTAATCTGTGTGTGTGTGTGCTCAGTCCTGTCTGACTCTTCGCGACCCCATGGACTGTGGCCCACCAGGCTCCTCTGTCCATGTAATTTCCCAGGCAAGAGTACTGGAGTGGGTTGCCATTTCCTGCTCCAGGGGATCTTCCCAGGGACTGAACCCGAATCTGCACTGGCAGGCAGATTCTTGACCACTGAGCCACCTGGGAAGCCCTGTTAATCTGAAGTGCTGACAACAGTGCCTAGGGCACAGTAAGTGCTATAGAAGGGTTGCTGTCATAACTTTCCCACTTTCAGACCTTACTAAATTTCTACTTGGATGCATTTTAAATTGCAGGTGAGGTACTAGAAGAAAATCTATTACCCATGAGAATTAGTTTTGCAAACCATAAGTGTATAGTGCAAGGTCCTATGTCTCCCCCTCCCCTCAGCCTTCCTCCTCCCCCCAGGGTGTGAGAGCTGGAGGGGGGCTGGGCTGAGCAGGAACTAGTGAGGTTCCAGAGCCCTGGTTGCAGGTAATCAGTGGTCAGCAACTCCCCAAAGTGGACAACACCAAAGAACAGTCCATTGTGGACCCCCTGGTAAGAGTGGAGATCTTTGGCGTCCGCCCGGACACAACCCGGCAAGAGACCAGCTACGTGGAGAACAATGGTGAGACGCTGGGCAGTGCTGGGGAAAGTGGGAGGAGCCTGGCTGTGGTTTTTCCCACTGTCCAGGTCTCTGTTAAGCACAGTCCATCACCCCTTCTGCCACCTCCATGGGAAGCACTGCAGACAGGACAAAGGATGAGGACTCGGGTCTGCAGCTAGGTGGTTCACTTACAGTGACCTAAGCAGACTGCTTATCTGCTCAGTTTCCTCACCTGTAAAGTGCTGACCACTCTGAAAATGAAGCAAGGGAACTCGGGGCAAGCAACTCACCAGCACTCAGCAATGTCTGTTCTTTCGTCCCTTCCCTCACTCACCCTCCGTGGCTAGGTTTTAATCCATACTGGGGGCAGACACTGTGCTTCCGGGTCCTGGTACCTGAACTGGCCCTGCTGCGTTTTGTGGTGAAAGACTATGACTGGAAATCCCGAAACGACTTCATTGGTCAGTACACCCTGCCGTGGAGCTGCATGCAACAAGGTGAGTCGGTCCTCCCTCTCCTGGCTCACACCCCAGCTCTGGCTGTCTTCCTGATGCTGTCCTCTCCACCCCTCCAACCACCCCCCAGGTTACCGCCACATACACCTGCTCTCCAAGGACGGCCTCAGCCTTCACCCAGCTTCTATCTTCGTGCACATCTGCACACAGGAAGTGCTAGAGGAGGCTGAATCTTAAGGCGGCCACAGGAGGAGTGGATTCACTGGCTGTAGATGGTGAGAAAAATGAAAAAACCTGGAAGGATGCTCCAGAAAGCAAACAGTGGTACAAACTCGAGCTTTGGACTATGCCTTTTCAGGCACAAAATGACTTGGTCCTTCCTGACAAGCAAATGTAGGGCCTGATTTTTCACCTTCTTTCTCTTCCCTTTCTTCGTTTTCACAAGACTCTTGGCATCATTCCTGTCCTTTTCCTCTGCAGACTCTACACTGGAATTCCTTCCTTCCTCTGGTTGTAGGCTCAACACCACACCCAGATCTAGGACAGCACTTTTCCACCAACTCTGGCTCAAAGGCAGATTGCAGCTAGAAATCCAAAGAGGGGCTTGGGGGCAGAGAAACTCCAAACCCAAACTTCTCACCCCTAACTTCCTCAAAGTTCAGAGCCAAGGGAAAGACAAATTGAGCCTCAAGTCTCCCCAGGCAAAGGCTGGGGAAAGAGATCTGATCCCCTGTATTACGACTCTCAAGAGAACACTGCATGGCCCAGAGTCTCCCCACTGGACTCCTGCTCACTTGTGCCACCAGTATAAATAGAGCTTCTCTCTCAATTTGGCATGAGTGTGGTCTCTTTGTTGGGCAAGGAGATATGAGGGGTGGGGGACATTTGGGTAAAGACAGGTGGGGTAGGAAAAAAGTAGGAAAACAGGGTTTCCCAGGCCCCCCAACATTCACTACACAGAAAGGGTAAGAAGTATGACTTCTAAGTGGCAGAGTAAAAGGAGAAGACAGAGTTACATGATTCCAGCCCTCCTAAAGAGCTGGCTTGGAATGGTCTTGATTTATGTCTGGTGTCTCAGCATAATTATTAATAGTACTCTCTTTAATTTCCCCAGTGTGTCCCAGTTTAGATGATTCATGATACAGTCACTGTGAAGCACCGACAGAATTCTGGGTGGAGATTTACCTCCCCAACTGTCTGTCTTCCACTATTCTGTGCTTTAACTCCAGGCCAGCAGCTGAGCTGGTCTGAGGATGATGCTGAATTAAAGCTGCTTCCATGAGAAGGCTGAGTGGGTAGCAATCCTCCATCTACCAGAAGACAAAGGGACTTGGAAATAAGGAGCAGGACAAGGGCTGACTCAGGCTCTAGGACAGACACAAGATAGACCTGGTCCTGTTTCAGAACCACTCACTCAGCGGAGATGCAAGGAGACAAAGGAGAGGCGGAGGCCTGAGAGGGGACAGGACTAAGAGACAGCCTGGCAGTATTAAAGTCGGGGACATGGAAGAGTCTATATAAGCTACAAATCATTTAACCATGCTTTATGGAGCAGTGGGCACAACGGCACATGCGGTTAGATACAACTGTTTTGAGGATGCTGAGGAGACAGGAACTTGACACAGTTAAGAAGGAAAGAGAAGATGAAATGGGTAATCCATGATCTTATAGGACTTTGGTGGGGCAATGGTGAAGAAATTAGGAACACACAGGTCAAAAACACAGTGTGCCTCAACAGAAATCAATTTGTGGTCCAGGTCTCTCTTTTATATCAACTTCCAAGTACTACGGGCCAGGAGGGTTCCCAAGAGAGTTCCAGCCTCATTTATGCCCTGAAGCCAGCCCCTCCCACAGCCCTGAGCTCCTAAGGCTGGCTCTGGGTTCAGTCTGCACATGGGTCCACACCCTCCTCATGTCTGGGAGGTGTGGGGGCTCAGCCCTTAGGTCCAGTCTGCACATGGGTCCGCACCCTCCTCGTGTCTGGGAGGGGGGTGCATTCAGCCCTCGGGTCCAGTGGGAGGAGCAGCGGGAGCAGGCGGGCCAGGGTCCTCCAGTTGCACGTCGTGCAGGTGCACTGTAGGGGTGGTGGGGTCTTTGCCCACGCCTTGGTTGGGGTCAGCCTGGTCAGGGTGGTGCCTGCGCACGTGCTTGACCACCTGGAATTTCTGCTTGGCCTTGTAGCTGCAGAGGCGGCAGAAGAAGGGGTGGCGGTCGGTGTGGGTGAGGGCGTGATGGCGCAGGCCGGCAGCCCAGCGGAAAGCCCGGTGGCACACATTGCACACGTAGGGCTTGGCTTCGCTGTGTTTGCGCAGGTGGGTGCGCAGCAGGAAGCGCGTCTTGAAGGCTTTGCCACACTGCTCACACATGAAGGCCCGAGCTTCCCGGTGCCGTGTCTCCTGGTGCACGCGCAGCGCATCGGCCCGGTTGGTGCAGTATTCACACTCGGGACACTGGTATGGCTTCAGTCCTGTGGGATGGGGGAAGGACAGGGAACAGGTCGCCACTGAAAGAGGTGGAATACGGATTTGTGGACCAGAAGTGCCACTGTGATCCTGGGACATAAGGAACACAGCCAGCCAGCTGACTAAGGACTGTGTCTCTGGAATGCTCCGATCCTGTCTGATGTGCTGCCCTTCTTCCACAGAACCCCTTGTAGACAGTGAGTGCTCAATGGATGCTGGTAACTAATTGGACCCCTAAGTAGCCATCTGACAGCAATAAAGACTCAAATATGCTAAGTTTTCTACAAGCGGAATTCCAACCCCGTTTTGGTCCTAGGGTACTCATGGAACTGGGAATCTATTTAAATACAGTTCCTTGTTCAACTCAGGAAGTAAAAGAAAATACTTTAGAGGGAAGACGTAGAGGTAAAAAGTAGTGCCATCCATAGAGGCAGAAGGTCTTGAAATGCTCCTGGTTAATTCCCTTATAGGGTGGGCCATATGCAGTGATCAAGACACACCATCATTAACCGTTCTGAGAACGTGTGGTCCATGGACTCTACTCAGGAGGGGAAAAAAGGACAAGTTAAAACAGGCGAGCCCTCTACTTTTCGCCTCCTCACTCACAATAGTTCCATCCTGTCTCCATAGGAACCAGATAGATCTGGTTCCTCATGCTCGAGTTGGGGGTTCTCAACAGGAAAGGGGTGACCTTGTGCCACAATCCCGAGGTTTTGCAAAGCACACATGCCCAGACCCCCAGGTTCACCTCTCCTGATTCTCATAGGCTTTCAGTGGGTTGGGAAGTTATTCTGGCCTTTCAGTTGACCCACTACCCCTGATGTGAAAACTGATATGCACCCCAAATCTGCATAAGGACATACACCACACTCAGGGAGGCTGGGTGTGCCATGGCACAGGGGAGCCCCTTGGGCCTGTGGAAACCACGCAGACTCACCTGTGTGCTTGGTCATGTGGTACTTGAGCTGGTTGACCCACTTGCACTTGTAGCCACAGTCAGGGCACAGATACTTCCGTTCCTCCTTGTGGATCCGCATATGGTACTGGAGGAGAGAAGAGCAGAGAGCACCCAGAGAACATGTGCCTAATGGGTACTCACTGGACATGGAAATAGGGCAAGCAGGCAGAGAAACTGCTGGCAGATAATCCTGTTCCCTGCACCAAGCTGACCCATCCCACCCCCACCCCCAACTGCCAATCAGGTCCCCTAGGCCAGTCACTCGGACACCACCCTGATCCATTTGGCCAACCTCAGGTATCAATGATCTCAGCTGTGCCACTCATTTAGCTGTGTCTTTGGGCAACCTAACCCTTAATTTTCAGTTTATTAAAAATGCGAAACAATAAAAGTATATTTCATATTTTCATAAGGATTAAAATTAATGCCCAACATACAGTGTAAGTGCTCAAAAAATGTTAGCTATTATTATCTAGATTATCTACAATGCCTTTATCACATGCCAAGCATATATTATGGAATTTTATCTTTTTTGGCTACGTGGCACGGGGGATCTTAGTTCCCTGACCAGGGATTGAATCCACGCCCCCTGCCCTGGGAGCACAGAGTCTTAACCACTGGACCACCAGGAAGTCCTGGAATTCTACCTTTGTAACAACCCTATGCAGTATTATCTCCTTTTCTCACAGATGAGCAACCTGAGGCTTGGAGAAGTTAAGGGACTTGACCCAAGTCACAGAGCTAATACATGGAAGAGTCAGGATTAGAGAACCCAGGTGGCTTTCACTGGGCAGCCTGCCTTCCTTCCGTTTCCAGACCCCACAGCCCCTGACCTTACCTTGAGGCGAGAGGGGTCCGCACAGGCATAGGGACAGAGGTGACAGCGGTAGGGCTTTTCCCCGGTGTGGATACGGCTGTGCCAGGTGATCTTCTGCCGGTTCTTGGTGCTATAAGCACAGTCCGTGCACTTGTAGAGCCGGGTGCCCCCATGCCCTTTCACGTGGTGATCCAGCACCAGCTGGTGGCGGCAGGCAAAGTCACAGAAGGGGCAGCGCAGAGGGGGCTGACCGGAGTCCCCCTCCCTGGCCGAGGCTGCCGCTGCCTCGGAAGTCTCCTCGTGCTGCTCCAAGTAGTGCTTCACCAGGCCCACCCGCTCCCGGGCAGCAAAGTCACAGAGCTGGCAGCGGTGGCTGAAATGCTGCTGCCTCCGGTGCTCGTCCAGTGCCGGCCGGCTGGGGAAGGCCTCCTGGCAGGCCCCACACTCGAGCCGGGGGTGCTGCTTCCGGGTGTGCCCCCGCAAGCTGGCGGGGCTGGCGCACAGCAGCCCACAGCGGGTGCAGTGCAGGGGGCCCTCGGCAGCCTCCGCCGGAGAGCCAGGGGCGGGCAGCGTGGGCTCCGGATGCCGGCGCAGCGCATGCTGCTTGAGCGCCGTCTCGGAGCTGAACTGGGCCTCGCACTGAGTGCAGGCAAAGGCCGGGGTGCCCTGGTGGCAGCTGTTGACGTGGCGGGTGATGTCATGGCGGAGGTAGCCGCTGTAGTCACAGAGGGGACAGAAGTGGGTTGGCGTTTTGTCGTGCACCCTCAGCCGGTGCAAGCGCAGTTTGGAGTTGGTACCGAACGTCTGAGGACAGGAGTTGCAGCGGATGCGGCCAACCCCTGTGTGTCGGGACTGGTGGGCCTCGAGCCGGTACCGTCGGGTGGTGGAGAAGTCGCAGAAGGGGCACTGATGTGGCTTCACCCCCTCGTGCTTCAGCCGTTGGTGCTGCTGCAGGCACCGGCTCTGCTTACAGGTGAAGCCGCAGTCCCCGCACTGCAGA